AAATTTAAATTTAAAATGTCTGTAAAAAATAACTGTGTTCATATATTTTTTAGATTTTTTGGTTACAGTATGAACTATTTATGAGAACCTTTGTTTTAAATTTGCAATCCTTAACTATAAAAACTGAACATTTTATAATTTATTAATTACAATTTACAATGATTGATAATTTTTGAGATTTTGATAAATTTTGTCAAAATTCGATGTTTAAATGCTTATAAAAAAAAATTGTGCCTATGTATTTTTAATATTTTTCAATTGCTATTGTAACAATATATCAGGAACCTTGTATTACATTTTTACACTTTTGGGCAAAACGGATAAAACTTTATTGATATTTATAGAATAAAAAACTAAAAAAATTGAAAACTGAAAATGTCAGTAAACAGCTCAAAAAGAGTCAAAATATTTTCAAAATTGTACAGTGTATAGGAAATGCTAATCTGAACATTCTGTGAAATTTTCATGTATCTACAGTTATTCGTTTTTGAATTAGAACAAAATAAGAAAATCTCTACATGAGAAATCAAGTGAATATCCAATGTTGTAAAAATTTGTATTTCAAACGCTCATAAAAATTTAATTTGACTTTCATATAGATATTTTTTTTTTGATAAATTTAGATAATATTCTTCTAAGGAATCTTGTATTACATTTTAAAACCTTAGATATAAAAAGAAAAATTTTTACGAATTCTTAACTCAAAATAATTTGCTAATTTTCGTGATTTTTCCATATTTTGTCAAGTTTTGAACTTTAAATGCTTATAAAAAAAAACTGTGACTAACGATTTTTAATATTTTTCATCTGCCTTTGAAACAATAGGTATACTAGGAGCCTTCTATACATTTTTCAAGTTTTTTTAACCAACAAATAAAATTTTATTGATATTTCTAGAAAAAAAATTTAAAAAAAATGAAAAATGAAAATGTCCCTAAACAGTTCAAAATAAATCAAAATATTTTGAAAATGTTATCGTGTATAGAAAATGCAAATATTAACAACCAGTGAAAATTTCATGTATCTACGGTCATTTGTTTTAAAGTTACACCAAAAACCAAAATCGATTTTCTCGAAAACAGATTTTGCGTAAAAATTCCCGTTTTTCCTTAATTTTTCTTTTGTTTTTCCCGGCGCTTTTGAAAACTACTGGGAAATTTAAATTTTGACCTCCCCAATGCATCAAAGATATTCACTTTCCAATCGAACAAGATACTGAAGTTGAAAATCAAAGCATTATTTCGACTACTTATCGTGTACACAGACACAAAAAAAAAAATAAATAAACACACATCATCGTAAAATCAATACATTCATCGTTTCACTCAGAATCTAAAACATTTTTTTAACGATTGGCCTGGAGGTGGGAAAAAATTGGCCTCTTTAATTGTTTGCACACCTTAAAAAAAAACTGAAATGGCGCCCCTGCTTTATTGTAAAAATATATACATTTTATGTTGCCACTTGCCGAGCGTTACTAAAAAATAAAAACACAATAGGTAGAGGTAGGTCCAAAAATTAAATCTTAAGTCATGGTCTATACCAGAATTTCTCAACCAGGCGGTCGCGACGCCCTGGAGGCTGGGGTCGAGTAGGTCAAATATAATAAAACGCTGATTTACATAATGTACCTTTTTATTGAATAAAAAAAACAAAATACTTAAAATAATAATAATAAAATTAGCCCGATATGGATATTCATAAAAAAATTAATGAATGAACATTATAAAATAAATAATTAGTGTGATCGTTGAATTTTTTTACATTTAAAAGTTGCTTAATTTCTGGTTCAACATCTGAAACACATACCTATATTAGAAGTAAGTTGGTTGTGAGTCTCAACTGGTAATTTTGAAACTACAGTAAGTTCCCGTTACAACGAATACCGATACAACGAAAAATCCCGTTATAACGAAAGTCCTAGAAGTCCCCTACAGAAAAGCTATTAAGCTTTTCTAATGACCTTACAACGAAATTTCCGTTATAACGAAAAAAAAATGTGGTCCCTTGGAGTTCGTTGTAACGAGAACTTACTGTACAACAATATTTTCATCAAATGGATTAAGAAGAATAAGAACCTATATATTTGAGAAGTCATCGTTGTCACATGAGAAATATTCGAGTAATTGAATTTTCAATTCTCTTAAATGTGTTTTCATGGTATCCAAAACACGATTAAGAATAGGACTTTTTGTCTTTTGAGTTAACATTTTTGTTAATGTAATTTGAAATTAAATCAAATTCATCAAAATTTCGTTTTTTGAGACGAATGATCCAAAATCCTAATACAAAGTTTTTTGATTATTTCATTATTAACTTTATCTGATAGTATTAGAATGTTCTTTTCACGGAATTGTAAGCTTATATTCAAGTCATTCAAATGTGAAAATATATATCACCCAAATAAGCCAAAAATAGAAATGTCTCATTATCTTGAAAAAAAGTTGAAAATGTTCTGTTTCGATTTTTAAAAAATATTTTTAATTCATTTCGCAACTGAAAAATCCGTGTTAAAACTTTTCCTCTCGACAACCCCCTAACTTCGGTATAAAAAATCAGAGACTTGTTCTTGGAGCCCATTTCTTTACATAGCGTGGAAAACAATCTGCTCTACAGCAGAACTCTTAATATAATTTACTATTTTTACAGGATATTTTTGTTGTTCAAATTTGTACCTAATACCTATAGATGGAGGGGGTCGCGAAGTGATTTACCATATTTTATACCTATATTGGGGGTCACGAGTCGCGACACTAAAAAGGTCGAGAAACGATGGTCTATACTCTATACTCTATAGTCTATAGTCTATATTAATCTTTATATGACAATATATATTTAATATTTATGATGGTCCAATAGTCACTAAATAATTTTAATGTTCTACCTACTCAAAATAAACAAAAGGGTTGATTAATATAGGTAGACTGTCCATTATGGTATATACGTATATCGTCATATGACAGAACGTTAATTTATTGCACATAAAATATACATAGGTAGGTACCTATGTAAAATCAATGATTATGAATACTATATTTGTATATTACAATGTATCATTATTATAATTTATTACGTGAGACGGGTTTCACTTCACCCTACAAGCTTTTCATAAGCTTCTTTGCAGTAACTCACAGTAACATATTTTTATGTGAATTATAATGCGGTGATCAAGGTATAAAATATACCTAATATAAAGTACTGACCTGAATAAGTTCTATATTATTTTATGCAGGGTGGCACCAAACAAGCTCATCACCCATTTATCTTATAATAATGATTTTATTAAAATCCTGATTTTTTAAATTTTTAATTACCTACATATACATAAGACATAGGTAGTTAACCTATTAATAAATTTAATTGATTGGCCAGAACTTTTAGAGCGTATTAATATCAATGTAAATATAAAAAATTCAAGAAATAAACATCCTTTTTATTTATCTATTATTAAAACTAACTACATGTTATACTACCCTGCTATTATATTAATGTCATGTGGTAACTTTTTTAACAACTTGGACCTGTTAAAGCTATATAAAATATATTTCATATTTAGGAAGCACTTGTATTAGTAATTATAGTTGTTATTTATTACTTATTAGTTACTAGTTAGTATATACTCCGACAATTTTTACAAAATACAAAATGTTGTTAGCTTATAATATTCAAAAAATCTCCGTACTAGCACCTACCTATATATAATATAAATCTGGGATTCAGGACAATAAGGCAACATTGAACTTGAACATATAATTTAAAATATTTAAAAATAAAATTGAAGGGGGCAATTCGGGGCCTCCTTTGGTGTCGTGCCTGTTTCCCCGCCAAACCAATTTTGTTTTACATTTGTAAGACGGAGCGACACAATATGCGGGTGTAGCATCCTCTTAAGATCTTGCGGCGTGCTTGTATTTGTTTTTATCAACTTCAGGATGTTTATTGTTCATATCGGAATCGATTTATTTACAATTTACTGAAAAGGTATTTTTTGGTTTTCAAGGCTTGTTCTTTATTGTTTTTAATAATCACAATTTAAAGTCCAAAGCATGACTGGTCCAAAGTACCTATGAAGTAATGAAACCAGCATCAGTGACCTGGCGACCTATTGACCTGCCAGCCACGCTGCGGTGCAGTGCCGCGACCATAGACGTATCACGTATAATATTATATATATTATATTATACGTCTATGGCCGCGACGTTGTCGCACACAGATTTCTATATGGCAATTGTATGGTATTTCATATGACAAATAAGATGATATTATGATTTATTTTGTATCGTATTTTATTATTTCTAAATATGTTGTTTAAAAAAAAAAAAATAAATATTTTATATGTCATTTTACATTTACTATTTTATTTGACCATTAAAAAAATATTATTCCTAAATCCTAATACATTTTGTATAATAATTGAAATGTTTTGACAACCGAGAAAATGGCGGCCGTCTACAGCTGAGCTTCACTTGTGACCAGACATCTTAGTCCGTGCTTGTAACGATGTAAATTGTATAGGAGTTCTTATCTAGTGTAGTATAGAAGTCTTTGTTGTTGCACGCCGGAATCGAGATAAAGCATAGACATTATATTATTATGTTTATGAAAATACATATATGAAAATACTTTATTATTATATATTACTATGTACCTATTCTATAACCTACACAGAATAGATGAAAATGAAATTCTATCTGAAATCTATTTCATCTATTCTGACATTCTGTGTAACCTATATAGTATTCGATTTATTATAATTTATTCTTTATCTTGATGCTCAGCCAATTTATAATTAAATTATAATCGTGCTCAAGAGAAAGTTATCAATCACGGTCGTTATCAGTCGTCCGCTATCATTCGCCGTTATCAGTCATTCGTTATCAACCGGGGACCGGCAGTCACTTTCTCCGTCAAAGATACCGTCTCACGCCGGATTGGCGCCATTCCGAAATCGGCAGCCAAACCGGGCTCGTTCGAATTGTTCAGAAACGACCTACAGCACCATGTCTGCGTCTATGGTCTCGTGGACGACGCTTGTGTCGGTATTGGCGTTGGCTTTGGGATCGGCCGTCGATGACCCCAAGCCAAACACCGTGTTCGTGGCCATACTCATAAGGAACAAGGCTCACACTCTCCCGTACTTCTTCAGTGCTCTTGAATCTCTGGACTATCCCAAGGACCGGATGCACCTGTGGTATGTTATTGAGTTATTGATAAAAAAAAAAACGTGCCATTTTGATTTGCCTTCAAAGTGTTTGCACTCTTAACGCTCTGAATTGACAACACTAGCCATCGCTTAGCGTGCCCAGAGATAACATTTCATTCATATTCTATATAAATAACATATTATAATAATCCTGTAAATCACACACTCTGTCACTACTCACCTTAACTTTCAACAATCAACAAAATATTTTGATGCACCAACCTCTGTTTTTCATACTGTGTTTTAGGCGGATACAGACAAGATAATATTAATAATAATACAACAATGGATTTACTGCCGAATTTCTCTAGACCTGCAAGATAGACTAGGTCAATAGGATTTAGAATAATATTTAATTGTTAATAATACGGCAATTGATGTATCAATGTATGCATTAATCATTAAGAACATGACAAAACTGAATTCAATGAAAATTTATTTTTATTACCAATGCATTATTTTCGATCCCTTAATTTTCTTAATTTACATGCTGTGATATTAACTAAGTAATATTGAATTACCTATAATAGGTATCAAGTGAATATACAGTTATACAAAAAAGTTTGGTATGCAGGGAGAAATGGCATTTGTCTAATATTCCATTTAAGTTAATTTTGATTTTATGTTTAAGGGAAAATGTCACTTATCTTCTAAGTATTATAAATTAAACATTTAACTTCTCTTTAATTGCTTTTAAAATTAAAATAATTTCATACATGTATTATGTAATTTGGTTAATAATTTAATATAGAGACATAGAGTATACCTAATAATGCTTTTTAGATAAGAACTTAGAACCTCATTTTTTATTTATTGATCTAAAGTATTGGCAACTATGTCCATTATAATTTTTTAAGGAGGACAGATTGTTGAGGAACACGTGTATAAGGGGAGGGGGGATTCATCACTAAAAACTGATCCAGGAACTAGCGAAACCGACCGGTGCTTCACCTCAGAATACATTAGTGACTGAGGCCAACCACCAAGCCACACCAGGCCCCTTAAAAACTTTTTTGTTTATGATTTAAGTTTGATTTAAAATAACTATTTATTTTACTATTTTACCAATATTATATTATGTGGGAATGGAATTTTTTTATTAGACATTTATAAAAAGTTTTAAGAAAAAATGGATATATTATAACTTGAATAATCTCATTTAAATCAATGGTTTTAATTTGTTTTGTTTCATAGGAATATAGGATATAAAACAAAATAGATGTTGTCTCATTTTTAAAATATTAAAGTGAATTGGCTACATTTTATTACAAATATTTTTTATTTTGTAGGATTAGGAGTGATCATAATATAGATAACTCGACTCTAATTTTAAATAAATGGTTAAAAACATCAGGAGCAGTTTACCATTCAGTCAATGTCAAAATAGATAATGATTCAACAAAGTATGATGATGAAAGCGGTCCTGCACATTGGCCCCATTCCAGATTTCAGCATATTGTTCAGCTAAGGGAATCTGCTTTACAAACTGCACGAGATAGTTGGGCTGATTATATTTGGGTAAATAATTGATAATTCTAGTTCAATAAGTATATATATATATATTTTAGATGTCATTATACTCTTAATGACTTAACTATTGTACTTATAGTTTTTAGATTGTGATGCGTTTATAATCAATAAGTCTACCTTAAGACATTTAATAAAAAAAAAATATCCAGTTGTTGCTCCAATGTTGAAGTCTGATGGATTATATTCAAATTTTTGGTGTGGTATGACTGACAATTATTATTACAAGAGAACTTCTGATTATGCACCTATAGTGGAATGGAAAACTAAAGGGTGCTTTCAAGTACCAATGATTCACAGCTCAGTTTTAATAGATTTAAGATTCCAGATCACTAACTACTTAACATTCAACCATAGTTTATTGCCCAACTACAAAGGACCTGTAGATGATATAATTATATTTGCTATGTCTGCAAATTTTTCTGGTAAGTTGTTAGTAGTTTTCCTTTTTATGGCATTTAATAGAATGTTATAAAGTTCTTATAATCTTATGAATAATGATAAATTGGTGTATATTATTTTGTCGACTAGGTATTCCTTTATATATTTGTAATGATGAAATATATGGTTTTATAACTATACCACTTGAAAAAGATAGTTCTCTAGAAATGGACATAAATCAATTGACAAATATAAAGTTAGAAATAACTGGTAAGGATCAGTATTTTAATGTTTTTTTACGATTAAGAGTATAACGCGTATACTAAATACATTGCTGTCATTTAATATTTTCTAGTTGATAATGAACCATTACAGATTTCAAGTAATTTATCAGATCTTGATTTACCAAGTGCACCTATAGACAATATGGGTTTAGATAATATTTTTGTAATTAACTTAGCCCGAAGAACAGAAAGACGAAACCGTATGCATTACTGTCTTAATGAACTTGGTCTAAATGCAACATTTATCGAAGCTACTGATGGAAGGTTAGTAATTTTTTTTCAGAATATTTAAAATAATATGCATTGTTATTATAATTATTTTAAAAGGTAAAACTTATAGAATAAACAGTTTATTAATAAATATGTAATAATGGTCATTTATATAAGTTATAAACACAAAAATGTACATAGAAAATAATAATAATAATTTTAAAGGTATGTCACTGTGTTAGGCGTTTCATTTTTTTTAGGACAACTACTAAAGTTTGTTAATTCATAGTCATTATTAATATTATCCTGGTTGATTTCTGTTAAGTTTTCATCTTTATTTTGATGAACTGATATCCTGCATATGACTGTTCTTCTGTTTTTTGCTGATGATCTACTATATTTGTATTGATCAAATCCAGCAACATCCATTTCATCGTTGCCACCACATAGTTTTTGTTTCAAAGTACAGTACATTTTACGTATTGCTACCTAATAAAAATATAAATACAAACATTAGAACAGTTAATTTATATTTTGACATTTGTCTTTGGTTTTGACTTAGTATTCAATAATTAGTTAGCGATTGTACAGTTTAATAAAAACTTCAATTTAAGTTATTAAAAAATTAGGAAAAACTCAATAATTAAATAAATTTAAAAGAATTCTTTATTAGTAAAAAATATTAACCTGAATTTCTTGCATTCTTGCTGCGTAAATATATGAGTTTACTGCTGATTTAAGAATTACAAGACAATTAGTTGCAAAGTATGTATAAAACCTCACAGTGAAACTAGCCCAATTTGGTTGAATTATACAATCAGTACATATCAGGTAGTATTGTAAACATGCTGGCATCCATCCAACCACAACACTTCCGACAATTAGTAACGTCGTGTATAGCGCCTTTTCGTTTTTACTCTGTTGCGATTCCGTTTGTCTACGTACCTACAGCATTCAGGTGATTTTGCAGGGATTAGAGTACAATTTAAATAACAGATAGCTATACAATATTTACTTGATTTGGTTTATTGAAATGCACACTGCCACTCTGTTTGTACAGGAGGCGAGAAGCTTGATGTTTTTTCACCAATATAAATATATGATAGTATACTATTCCCATAATGGCGAGAGCAGCAAAAAGTACAGCCGAAAATGTACTTCTGAATTTCGATTCTTTTAAAAAACTGAAAAATACATGACATACAAATTATTATAAGATTATGCACAGTGTCATCAATTGAGTGTGACAAAATTCTAAGAGGACAATATAGCATAGCCCCGTACTGCAAAAACCATAGATATATAAAACAACTAGATAGCATAGCCATATACTTACTATCTTTATACTATATGGTCTATATATAAGTCTGCGTCATAAATAAAGCAGGCAGTGTTTAAATTTATTCGTACACATATTATATAGGTACTTTAAAACTTATACTAACTTATACTATGTTTCTAAACATTGACTGCTTTGTAAATGGCTGTCGACTTCAATGATAAGGAAACAGCTATCTAGTAGTTGTTGTATATAATATATTATATATATATGCTAAAAACACACTTCGGAGAACAGTGATTACTTTTTCTATATTTTAGACTTTTAGAGTAAAAACACAATTTCAAGTAAGCAATATTTTGGACTTTTGGAAAGCATGACATTGTTTTTAAAATAGTGCATAATAAAAAAGTTACAACTATTTAAAAAAGAAAAAAAAAATTACAATTTTTGTACCTTAAATTGTAAAAAAAAATACTTAATATTATACCTTTTTTCCAAAATATTATCCCCTTTCGTTTTTTCTAATAAGTGGTTTAGCTCTAAAATTGTAGGTAATATAAATCCAGTATCAGTAGTCCATTAGTGCGTCTACAAGTTTTTATTGAATTTACTGTATAATTTTGTAGTTACGAAACGACCAACAAGTAACAACAGTAATTACAAAAATTTAAGGACATCATTTTAGTTTTTGAGCTGAGCAATGAATGTATTGATTTTACAATGATGTGTGTTTTTTCAATTTTTAGTGTGTGTACACGAATACACGATAAGTAGTTGAAATAATGCTTCGATTTTCAACTTCAGTATCTTTTTTGATGGGAAAGTGAATTTAGTTGGTGCATTCGGGAGGTAAAAATTTAAAGTTAATTCCCAGTAGTTTCCAAATGACAATATTTATCAAATGAATAATTTACAAATTATTTTGCAGTTAAAAATATATAAAATGTTCAAATTTTATAGCTAAGGATTGAACAATTAAAACATCTTCATACTGTAACCAAAAAGTCTAAAAAATATATAAACACATTTTTTAAAAAGTTGTTAACATGTTTTAAGTTCAAATTTGGACGAAATTAGGTATTTAAACGAAGGATAACGATTTTAGTTTTGTGTTGTTATTTGAAAATATCGTTCTTTGGGTACTTGAACTTCTATAATGTATATTATTATGTACAAAATATATATGATAGTATGGAAATAATATTAATTCAACTCACCGACTATACCCTATTAATAATAACAGTATAAATATAATATAAAATATCCTGGCTGACAAACCGTCTCCGCTCAGAATTGTTTTTCATATATAATGATATTATTATATCATTGAATTAAAATTTAACACCATCCATTACAATTTACAGTGGTCCACTTGTAACCTACTGTACAGCAGAGATTCACCCACTTACCCACTTTTTTATTTTTTAAACTTTGTTAATATTACGTATATTGAAAGTTGACTTGGGTTTTTTTTCTATTCAAACAAACTGCGACGTATATGAACATATACTGTTCACTCCATTACCAACAAATGTACAGCAAAATCATAGAGACCATTTTCAAACACGTTGCTCAGTAATTCTCAGTGGCGTCATTTCAGTTTTTATTAGACTAATTAGGGTAATTTTCACTACTTTTCCGACTGAACATCTTTTTTACTCAGATTCTCATAGCGTAGTGCCATATTGGTAAGGGGGGATGGGGGGCGTGTGGTAAATGTGCCGACTTAAGGTTGATGTAAATACTAGACTGGGGCAAATGTCCCAATTGCCCTCCCCAAAATGACGCCACTAGTGGTTCTGCGACCAAGTTTTAATATAGAATGTCAGAAATAATTTGTCAGTTGTATAGTTAGTAGCACACTCATAAAAGAAACATATGAAAATAATATATCCAACAAATTTGTTGTTAACTAAAGAAAATTTTTGGAGTACTCCCCGATTTTGTTGGATATTATTTTCGATAGCAGAGCATTTTGATGTTTGTGCTGCCAACAATATCAAACAAGTTACCAACACATAATTTGGAGGATATATTTTAAATGCGTCTTCTATAGTTGTGCTGCCAACATGTTTTAAGTTTAAATTTGGACGAAATTAGATATTTAAAAGAAGGATAACGATTTTAGTTTTGTGTTGTTATTTAAAAATATTATTTTTTGGGTAATGATGGTAACAATTTTTCCACATACAAGCCATACTATAATTTTTGTTGGGCGTGCCGTGTCAGAGTTAGTCGTTGAACTTCATTCGTGAAAATGGGAACAATAATGAACCACTAAAGAAAATTTTGTTTTTTGCAACATAAACAGATATAAAGACACATTAGAAACCTGCAGAAACTTTGTTGAAGAAACATGTCGCAAAAACAAATGGCTCCTACTTGTTACCTGCTGCAGCTCGGCGTGCACTATAGGTGGTCTCGCAAAACATACTTACTCGTATAGCTGACACTGCGGCGATTGGAACGCCTGGCAGGGTATCATGTTGAAGTAGGCGAACAGGAACGAAGGCGGTAGCGTCCACAGGAAGAACACGAACACGGTGACGGTGCCGTGCGTTACGGTGGCCGGGTAGTGGAGCGGCCGCAGGATGCCGATGTAGTGGTTGAACGCCAACACGATGAGATGGCCCGCGGTGGTGACTATTGCCCCGAGCCGGAGCGCCTCCAGGCCCAGGCTGGTGCACGTGTCCATCAGGTACACCTGGAAGCCCTCGGGCAGCAGGCTGTTGACGGTGAAGCTGAGGCCCAGCAGGAACGACGTGTACAGATCGGTGCCGGCCAGGCTGAGGCTGATGTACAGGGTCGGCGACAGCGGCCGCCGGATCCACAACACCGACAGCAGCAGGATCACGTTGAATATTATCGAGAACACGCACAGCGATATCAGCACCGGCGTGAACGTGATGTACAGAAAGTGCGAGTAATGCGGGTCCACCACGTCGTTTTCCCACGTGTTGTTCGGCACCGGTCTCGTATAGTTGCATCGATCATTGATGCTGTCCACGGTTTCCATATTGCGCGGCCTGCAGCAATCGCGGACGTGGCCTGGATCAGCGACGACGTGTCTATATTTGATCTGTCCTCGGGCCTGTGGACAGACATATTTTGATCGGAGGTTGAATGGTCGGCGACCGGCCAAATTCGATTAAGAGGACGCCACAAGCGTATATGTGTTGTTTCCTTATATTACAAAATATGTGCAACAACGTAGGTAGCAATTATTTTACGTTCACAATCATCCATTTTACTCTGTTGTTTTTTGAAATTAGAGTGAATTGATCTATTATGAAATGTTACAGGTAAGATTTTTTTAACTAGAGCATCTAGAGCGTCTTTGTTGATAATTTTAATTTTGAAGCAACTTATAATGAAAAAATGTATAATTTTAAAATGTTAATGACTTGATTCGTAATTAAAATATCAATAAAAGCCTTCGAAATTTTCTTGATAGTAATCTCACAGTTTAATTGTATTATGGATCAATTCACTCAAATTTTCAAAATAACCGAGTAAACTAGATTATTGTGAACGTAAAATATACTAGGTTGTACGTTTGTAAGACAGAGACATAGTGCGCAAATAGCGTTTGAGATTTGGGGGGGGGGGGTCTAAAACCTTACTTGTATAATATTGAATAAGCTTAAAACAAAATGTAGGAAAAGTTTGGGGGGGGGGCTATGGATATTTTTGGAGGGCTTAGGCTCTAAAGGCCTCCCCCTATTTGCGACTATGGACAGAGACGCGGGTGTGGCGTCATCTTAATATTATGCCATAACCGTGCGTATATTGTTATATACTATATATAGATTATAGATACGCGTGTGCGCAAGACAGGTTGTAAATTTGAATTTGAATTTCCCTTTTTTGTTGCATCGTTGATCTATTATAATATGTGCATACTCGATGTACGGATATAACTATTAAACAACTTCAGTCCTATTAAAAACACGAAGCTAAGTTTTATCGTTAACCCGACGTGTTCTACACACCTATACCAGTGGCGTAACTAGCCACTTGGGGGCCCTAAAGTCAAATATAAAATAGGGCCCCCTACTCAAAAATGTAAATGGTCTTAAACAATCCAATGTACACTACTCCTCCTCTCTCACCAGGAAATACAAATCCTTTCCATAGTAAATTACTAATCTTATAAAATTTAAAACAATTCTATAAGCCACAATAAATAATATAAGATTTATAAAACACAGAAAAAAAGTTTTTTTGAAATATTATAAATTTACAAATGATACCCAATATTAATAATTGTAGAGCTCTTTACATAAAAATCACCAACAAAATGTTTTACAATTACATATTAAGAAAAAAACAATGGTAGAGAAAATATAAACTCTTAATATTAGTTATATATAGCTGTCTATATAAATCGAACGTGTCCTGACTGACTAATTTACGTACAGCCTAAACTATGATAGCTAGAAACTTGAAACATTCGTGGTATACTACTATGGTTGCGTACCACCATGAAAGGTTGAACTAAGGAAATATTTTAAGTAATTTGCATTTAATAGAGATTATAGGTACTTAAACAGTTATACAAGGATTTTGAGATTGACGATTGAAATCAAAAAATTTTTATTTTTTAAATGATTGCCATTGGTTAGTAGTTATAGTAATCATAATAGTTATTATATAGTATGAATTGTAGAATTTGTTTGTATAATATAAATCGTTTCTATTGGTTACGTAAAATAAAATTGTCATTATAGGTACTACTGTATATAATTTAAATTTTTAACCTGCATTTGATATTTGGTCACTATATTTTTTACCCACATGGTTTGGATATAATTTTAAACCGGAATTTTATATTTGGTCACTTTTTTTTTTTCACTCAATGATTGCCTGTTACCCACCCGGCCATCATCACCCATCATCGTCGTCGGCGTAACTCTCATAATGTTTTCTGTATTATTTTTTTTCAAGCCGATAGTTATGACTATGGTCGATAATATACTGTTTGACTAACGAATCGATTAATACTTTTAGTTTTTAGCACGGTGACCTGCCGTCCGCACCCGGCATTATATGACACTAAATGCGGTATTTAAGAGGACGCAACACCCGCATGTGTTGTCTCCGTCTTACAAACGCGTAACGTACCAAATTTACGCTCAGCAGTTCAAGTTTTATGCCGTTAGCTTAAAAATTAGAGTGAATCGACCTATTATGAAACTTGACGATATAAGAATATTATCTGTGTTTAGTTGGAAGTTTTTTTTACTATAATTCGGTTTTTAAGTGAGTTATGAGCATTTTTAATTTACATCTATTATACACGCTATATCTTACTTAAAAACTGAATTATCGTAAAAAAACTTCCAACAAAATACAGATAATGTTCTTACCATCAAGTTTCATAATAGGTCGATTCATTCTAATTTTTAAGCTAACGGCATAAAACTTGAATTTGGTATGTAACGCGTTTGTAAGACGGAGACAACACATGCGGGTGTGGCGTCCTCTTAAGTGTCTATAACTTCCAAACTAAGTGCGTGCGGCACATAATTTTGCAGATCTGTAATTACCGTGGAGAATACTAGACTCTAAAAAATAAGTTACTTTGGTAAAGTAGATTTATAATAACATTTCTACTTAGGAAAGAGATGTAGGAAAATTAATGTGTTCTTTTAAATGTATTTTATAGTTGAGTTATGTGTTTGGCATTTTTTACGGGCAACGAAGTGCATGGAGTTTACTAGTATTACATCATAACATATTTATTGTTTTTATAATGTAATCCGTGTATAATATGAGACCGTTTAATACTAATATAATTTGAACTTAATTCCGAGTTTCCAACTGAAGTACTGATTTATTTATTTACTTTAAAAATGTCTAGGAAACGAGTTTGCGGAATTGACAATACAAGATACAGTTAAGGCGGCTCTAAACGATTGGATTTTTCATGCATTTAGACCAATAAGCTGGTGAAAAATACACATACTTGTAGTAGTCCAATTTCAATTTTGAATACTTATTTGGATTCGTTAGCCTCTTTTCTATGATCTGTAGGAAAAACTTTTTCATCTTTTTGTCTAGTTAGCACTTAAAAGTGCAAGTTAAATTTGAGAAATCAAGCAGTCATTTGGAACAGTAATATACGTAAATTATCTAAAATATCCAAAATCGGTTTCCTACAAATCATAGAAAAGAGGCTGACGAATTCAAATAATTTTTCAAAATTGAAATTGGACTACTAGAAGTATGTGTATTTTTTGCCAGCTTATTAGCATTTTTCACTGTTGTGAGTGTACAAAAATATTTTTCGAGAGTGATTACGTTGACTTGTGCATGCGCGTACCTGCGCTATTGAACCGTGTGCCCGCAGCCGGGCGATATAAAATCTATTGTTATCGAGTTCGAATTTCTTCGAATTTCACACTAGTAATCATTTACGACTAACACATAGATAACGGGCGGCGACGACAAGATTAGAAATTGCCTAAATTGTTCCCCTTAAATAATAGCCACTAAGAGCCGCCTTAAGAATATATAAAAAAATATTATTATATTATATCTAATAATACAAATTGTGATGAAAGTAAAAAAAAAGTTTATAACAATATGAATATAATGGCAAATATGTATACATTTAATATTATTTATTATAATATTGCCTGGAATAAATAGAGAAAATAAGTATATCATTCTATTTCAAATTCCGTTCATATTCCCTGTTAAATATACCATCTAGATTCTATACGTCTTTGTATAAGAGAACGCCATAAATAAAAAGTATTCCGAACTTTTTGGCTAAGAAGAAACTCGGATCAAATGAAGTTAATGGCGTTAAATAAAGTTTTTAGTTAAGTTAAGGATACTACACGAACATATTATATTCACGGTGTAAATTTTTCATCTTAGAGAAAATTAAGTTTCCTCACAAATGTGTTCCCACACGGCCGATTCGTTTCACGTGTTATACACTGTTATAAACATTCATACATTCATAAATCATTATATTAAAATTATAGTAATTTGTACATTTTAAAACTTGTTTTATAGTGAGTTATTGTATATGTATATGAGTTAATATACACAATTACATGGTTTTAGAAGAATTTTCTGGTATATTTATTACAGCAACATCAAAATACGATCAATTTTGTAGGAAAATGTTAATAAATCATATTAAGTTATTAGGTTACATTTACATAAAAAACGAAATCACAAATTTAATAAAAACTGAATATTTATTAATATAATACATTTTTCAAATCATACAAAACGTTTAAAGTGTTTAAACCCTCGAGGCTTGAGATATGGAGTTTTTTTATGAAAAATATTTCTCATATTCAAAATAATAAAATAAACAATTGACTATAATTTCACGCATGTATATAGGATTATAAAAAAGTTGTGGAATAATGCAAAAGACTTTTTCTCGAATTCAATTAGCCTCCAGTTATCTATATATATATTACCTTAACCACTACTATAGTAGTTTTTTTGAAATTGTCTAAAATGTTCACGTGGTCGTTCTGTTTGATATAAGTTAGGGATGTTCACGTGTCATTCGCAAAATATGTAGGTACATAAACGAAATGAACACGTTTTTTCCAAACACTGGATTGATGTGCATTATTTATATATTACAGTTATAAGTATTAAATAGATATAGGTATACGCATAGAAGGAAGAGTGCAGGATATAAAGTTGTACCCTTTATTAAAATACGAATAAACATGTCGACGTTACATTTAGAAATTTTTTTGATATATTTGATTGCTTAGATGATGTATAAGCGTACCTAATTAAAACAATAGAAAATTAATGCAGTGTGTTAAATTAATTTTGCATATCATAATTATTTCGTTGGATTATCAAACAATTTTTTTTTTAATTGCTCATGATAAAAACAAGGGAATAAATAGTGAACATTTTAAATATTTTTAACATTAGTCTAGAAGCTTAGCAAGTTATGAATTTTTATTACGTTTGCTCAGTAGATATATCTTATGATAACAAGTGAATATGTAATACCCTGTATCC